GAGGGGGTCTGAGCTCCCAGACCCAGCATGAGCCAGAACTGAGCCTGTTCACCTGACTCCTAACACACTTAAAATGCAAAGCTGAAGCAGGAGTAGGTCCCAGACCCGTCACAAGCCAGAACAGAGTAGGGCTGCTGGCCAACCTGCTAAAAAGTGTACTGGCAAGGGGCAGGGAGGGAAATGCTATGTAGTCTATAGCTATAACCTATAAGCTTTTGTTTATCGGTTAATCGACTACACTAGTACATTCCTAGTCTGAATTCTCCAAATGAGGGTTTCTAACAGCTTGTCAAGGCATGGTTTGGATGGAAGCTTGCTCCTTAAAAAGGTATCAAAAGAAACCAATTTGATGGTCGAGGTTTAACCAAAACATGACAGTACGGTCTGCTGTGTTTCTGTCTGGGTCTTAGAAGCTTAAAATCATATATATTATTGCTGAAAGTAATGGAAAATGATCCCTTGAAAGAATTTCTACATTGTGCACATCACAACACTTTCTCTGTCGTTAGTTACCTTCCTTTCACTTTGTGGGTCTCATACACAGCAGGGTGGGGAAGAGAAGAGTTAAAAAAAAAAAAAAAAAAAAAAAGGTGCCCAAACAGGAACAAGTGACCGTAAACTCAAAAAGAAAAAAGTGAACATGAATAGTTCTCAGAATGCAATAAGCAAAATTCAGACATACTGATCTTACAACCTAATTCAAGTATACATGTGTGAAACAGACCAGTGCAAATAGACCAGCATTTTGCTTATGATGTGTTGGTGCTTTGTGTTAAATAATGACAGACTTTATACTCACTACCATGGTATTCCTTCTGGTAAGTTACTGCATTTGATTCTTCTCTCTCTCTCAGGCTTAATAGTTTGGTTTTAGTATTTGTATTACAGGAGAAGCTAGAGGCCCCATTCAGAATTGAGGCACACTTATGCTGAGCATTATGTGTCATTCAGAAGTGAAAAGGAAAGTGACTGTTTAACCCTTCTATGAAACTTACCCAACAAAGATCATTTGCTTCATCTGTTTCAGGTAGCATTCACCACTGAACTCTGTTACTGCAAGATTGGGTAGACTCTGCTGTGATGTTAATTCGTCCTAAGAGTCACAGCCCTAAAACCTCATGCTGTGAAAATACAGCAGATGTGTTGTTCAGGTACAGAACTGATACGATTTTCACTTACATCAGGAACATCCAAAAGATGTTTCTGCTGCCCCGGGGTCAGTCTTGAATTCCCTGTGTTCCTTAAATGCACTGACTGACTCCAGTTTGAATGGGATTATGAAAAGGAATGCAGGGCTGGGTCCATACAGGTGGCATGGAGACTTATGTTGCTTCTTTTAAAGAGACAATTCACATCCCCAGTCAGCATTTGTTTTTATTCAAATCATTTGAAGGGCCCTAGAAGCTGTAGGGCTTCATTAGCAGTACCAGGGTGTATACAGATCACCTTCTCATCTAGCTGCAAGACATTTTTTCAATGTATAAATTGTGTTCCTCCACTCAGTGTCACAGAATTTCAGTGCCCATGTTGGCTTCGCAGCACCTTAAAAATGACAGACGACATAAATGTACAGTCTTGTAGAAATACAAAGTGCGTTTATACATCTTCACCATTTGATATTAAATCCAGAGTTCATTTTCTCCACTGCATGGTACTCCGTGTGCAACATTTTCCCAGCCTTTTCCGAGTCTGTGCCGCCCAGCCAGTGTTCATAAAGTTCTTTTACACCGAGGTTCCTCTCTGGAATTTCAGTTTTAACAGGCTCGTACAACTTCTCAACTCGCTGAAGCAAATCTTTGCTGGATTCGCCTTCTGCCCTGATCTGACCACCTCCATTTAAACAGCCTAGGTACAACAAGAGAACATGACTGTGGGGATGTAAATGTTCTAACAAAACTCTGAGCAACTAAAAGCAACTACTACAAAGCAATTCTTTCAGTCTGCAACTGACAGTAGCCACATAAGACTTCATAAATGAAAGCACAGATGAGAGGGGAATGAAATCAAATACTGTAAGGGGGAGCCGCATAGGTGCTATAAAGGACATATTGGTCAGTCATGGCCTAGTCTTAGTTCAGTATGGAAAGCAAAGCAAGCTGGTAAAAGGCCAGGAAGCGAGAAAAACTTCCTGTTCCTCAGAGAGAGGAAAGGGAGCAAGAACTTGTGGCTCTCCTTCTGATAGCCTGGAAAAGGGCCATGCTTAGAGCAAGGTAGGAACAGCCTTTGAGTCTCAACTAAATCAAGGAGCCTAGAAAGTCTCCATCAGCAGAACACTGGGAGTGGGACTCTGCAAGAGTGATGGATGTGTGAAGAAAGCAGCTGTGAGGGGCCATGGGAAGAAGCCAGGGACTGCAAGCGAGGGGAGCAGCATGCATGGAACCAGAGCTACCAGAGTCAGCTGCATAATGCCTAGTTTGGTCCTTACAATCAACTTTTCCGTGTTGGGGAACACTGCTACTTGGTGAAGGTTACATGGACCCTAGCAGAGCAGCTGTGGCCCAGAGAGAATGAAGAGTGGCTGGTCAGACTCAGTGTTTGATTTGGACTCATTTACCCCAGTATGACCAAGTTCTCCAGTTTAGCTGGCTAGCCCACATAGCCAGCCAGAAGAAGGAAACTAAGACAGAAGCACTTCCCACACCAGAAAAGTAAGGGAATCTATTTCATACTTTCTAAGACATTTAAGAATTGTTTCTACTTGTTACTCCTTCCACGTCTCTCACCCTGCAGTTCTCTAGAGGTGGTAGTGTCACTCCTGAGCTGAGACTATGACTCTACCACTCACCAGCCAAATGGAAGGAGTTATGAATTGTGAACACAGGGAAGGTAATTTAACGTCACTGCCAGAGCTGAAAGGAGAGAGATTACCACTTCTCCCAAAGCTGTTGCTAGCTTGTTAGAACAGAGCACCACCTAATCTCTAAGCTAGCTGAAGAGTGAAACTTCCATTTTTTCATGGCTTGGGACACATTTGGGTTTACAAAGCTAGGGCCAGAGCTGCGAGCAATCTTTTAAAAGCTGAACTGTTGATTAAGAAATTCACTCAGGTTTTTGACATGCACAGTTGCAATCATGACTATAAAGTAATTGCTAAAGAACTCAACTGTTAGAGTACAAATGCAACAGGCCTGACTTAACAACCCACTAATACATCACCTCTGGTCTCACTCACACTCAAATCCAACACTCAGAACTTCAGAAATCTTAAACAGCCTCACAGCAAAACTTGACATATAGCGATGTACCTGTAAAAGTCCCTGTGTCATCTTACCTGACGGGCAAGCCATGACTTCAACGAAGTGATAAGGTGATTTTCCTCGTTTCAGTTTTTGCACTAAGTTCTGTATGTTTCGAAATCCATAAGCCAAGGCAAACTGCAGCAGGATTGTGCCATCCTTTTCCAGTGTTACTTCTTGGAAATCCTTGTTTCTTGGGCATGAAAAACAGGCAAAATCTTTTGTCTAAATGAATTCTCTGTTTGGCACTCAACTGAATTTAGACAGCAAGGTGACCTTTTATGCAGAAGCTTATTCTAGTAAAGAAACAATGTCCTTGTGTGAGGAAGTAGAGGACAAGAGACTTTGTTGGGAAGAAAACAACCTCCATAAATCTAGTTCAGTTAGGGACCTAAAGCCCAATTCCAACAAATCCAAAAGGAAAAATGTTCTAACGTAAAGCTGTCCACATAATGCAGATGTAAGTTTGTCAGTGTTAATTATTGGTGTCTTTAGCAACAACAGAAGAGTTACAATGCAAGCAACTACCAAACTAGAAACAGTGCGCTGTGGAAACCATTTTCCCCAAACTGATGCTTGTACATCTCTTCATTTCAAGTTCAGAACTCTCTCCAGTCTCACAATTGGTACTTAGCACAGCTTGTCTGACCTGAGCTACTCCCTGGCCAAATAGCTATGCGCTGCAAATGTGGCTGGGAAAGATGAGACGAACTTGTGCCTTGATTCCTCTTTGTACCTGAGGCCCAGAGATGCTCTCACCCGGCTGTTTGGCTTTGAACTGTTGAAGAGCATCAGTGTTTGGATATAAAAATCCATATTGCTAGTATGTACTTCTATAGAGCCCTATAAATGATGCATTAAACTGACATCTGGGAGGTAGGCAGGAGTCTCATTTTCTGTACAGGTAAAGTCTGGCACAGAGAGATTTAAGTGACTTTCAGCAATTTAAGTGAGATTTAAGGTCTCTCAGCAATTGGGTGGCAAAGATGGAAATAGAATCCAGGAATCCTGACACCTGGTCTTTTAATCTAACCACTAACATAATTAAAGCGAAGAAACTAAAAATCTCAGTGCATTGGTGTCAGTGTCTGATGGCAGGCACAGAATTACCTCATTTCCGTGAGAATTTCAGCTGCCTGGCTGCTCTACATTTTTTCTGTAGTTTAATCTACAACACTATGTGGGTGATGAGAAAGGGGTCAAGAAGATACCAAAGAAAATATTACATACTCTGCTGGCTAATTCATTGCTAAATTAACTGTGGGGGCAGGGAGCCAATTCCCATGGCTTGCTGTAAAATGTTTAACTAGGAATATTGCTCTTTGATTGCCACCAGGAAAACAGTTTATAACGGGGTGGGCAAAAGGGCCTTCCCAGACTGGATCCGGCCCGCCACGGATTTGGCCCACGGAGGCCCTGCTGCTCTCCTGCCCCCAGGCCAAATTAGGGCCTGGGAGTGGGGGAGCACGCGAAGCTTCCTCCCGCCTTGCCAGGACCATGTGGCGCTCTGAAGTGCCGCACGGTGAAGGAGGAGAGCGGAGGAGGCTTCGCGCGCTCCCCTCCTCCAACTAGCCTAGTGGTGGGGGAGTGGGCAGAGCCTCTTCCAGGACATGGGGGCCTA